AATAAAACTAAGTTTGATACTTGCACGTCTTTTCTGTCTGACAGAAAGTCCTGATGCAATCTGAAGGCTCAAGTTGATCTTTGCTGAAGTTGGGTGATGAAAAAGAACCAGTTTGAGTCAGATGATCTTGGTGAATGGAAAGTCAAGGCCCGAGGCCTGGCGCAGACATAGGGTGTCCTTAGAGCTCACATAACCATCTTCTCAGAATCTAACAGAACCACAGACTGAAGGCGGGTCACTGATGTGAGGCCTTTAAGGTCTGAGAAGATTCACGCCTCTCAAGATGGGCTTGTCCAATGAGAAAGGCTGAAATCCCAAGCGGGAGGTTGCAATTACTGGAGGGTTTTACGACCCTTTGTGTGAGGGCATGGTAATTTGCAAATGTAATTCGCTTGAGTGTTGATGCACAAGCTAGTAAAGATTCTTAGAAAACGAATATGTTGCATAGGTATCAGCATGTAATATGCACTCTCAATTAGATCATCCGAAGATGAATTCATAGAGACCAAACATGATATAGGTGAGGTTATATTAACTAGGTATATCATTAACTGGTATATCATGACATGCATAAAACAGCATACACTTCAACAGACAATATGCAAGAACAGTAATGGTATACACAATGACCTGAAGGATATGCGTGTTCATTCAAAGAAAGGTTTTCCTATGAATTAATTAGAGAATAGTCAATTTCTCTGGGCATTATGTGTCTTTCTTATGAGGAAAATGAGTGAGTTTCTCTACCCGCATTCCTTTGGGCAATAAAACCAGTGATATCAGCATTGGTTGCCATGGAATCAGAGGCCTGTTCTGCCTTTCTGAGGTGTTAAGACGCATTTCGGGGGAAGGGTCCATAGGCCCTCATATGGCTTGTTAACTGAGGGGTGTTACAGAGTATTTGTTAAATATAACTAACAAAATATATATTGTGTGTCTGATTGGTCCAGACGCTACACCAAATAGGACTCAGGTGCAGGACAAAAAAGTCAAACTAAAGCGAAAACAAACATGATGTCCACACACTATAACTGCTCCATAAAATTGTTTTATTGCACTGATGTATAATTGACTGTTGTCATAAGAAACCAATTTTCTACATTGCTATATCTATATCTAATATCCTTTCATACATAATAGAATACTCCATATTGTATCGTATTGAAATGGATCATTGCACAATGATAGGCAATAAGCACTATTAGACCAGAAATAAAAATGGAATATAAAGTCAGTGTTTCATTCTCTTTATGTAACCGCTCACTGCCGTGTGTTTGGCTCGGTGACTCTGGCTGATCCGAGTGTGTTAGTCATGACATCATTACCCTGCTGTGTGTTTCATCAACAATAAAGCGTGGTTGCCATGGTCACTGATCAGTTTAGCAGGGTCTGTTGAGCACAAGGAAAGGTCAGTGTTTGTGTTATTATTAATTGTGTTATGAAGTCAGAGCAGAGCCTTTATGCTCCCTGCAGCATGACGCTTCTCCAGACCTCAGCACAGAAAGATCAGCTCTTGGCAGTTCTGGTGTAAGTTGATGCATCCCACCTCTTGTGTGGATCAAACCAAGCATTGATATTCAGTTCCAGGTGCTGCATAATTATTCCATGTTTAGGATCCAAAAGGGGGTTTGAATGCATTGATGAATTCCCAGCTTTGAAAACAGCTCATCTGATCAGTAATTACCGTCAGAACAATTTGTTATAATAGAATTTCCAGTACTTTAATTCGGCAAGGATGCATTAAATTGATCAAAAGTGATACAAAATATTTCAATTTTTTTTTAAATTATGTTCTTTTGATCTTTTTTTGTTTCCACCACAAAACCATGAAGTGGCACAACTATTTTTAACACTCATAAAAATAAGAAATGTTACTTTGTTATTGTTTTCTGAAGCATAGTGTGACACTGAAGACTGCAGTAATGATGCTGAAAATTGTACATTTGTAAATTAAATTAAAACAGTATTACTGTATTGTTATTTCTGGTCAAATAAATACAGGTTTGGAGAGCAAAAGAGACTTATCTAACTGAGAAAAAATCTAACTGACCCAAACTTACAGTAGTGTGCATTAGTTGTATACCACAATATTCTTAACACTTTGGTCAATAATGATATAGATCATGACATACACATTTTATAGAAACTTAATTAAATTTGAATTGATTGTTTTTTTTATTTATTTAAATACTTAAATACATTGCAGTGAAACTGCTTCATACATAAAAAAAATACATATTAAAAAAATACTTCCAGTTTTTATTGTCTACCATTTTATTATTTGAGCTGTATCTGTAAATTGTCCGTGTGTAGGTGAGTCTTTGGCTTTGGTAACTGTTGCATGAAGCCAGACATTTAATTAACATCACAAGATGCTAACATAGGATGCTATCCTGGCCAAAAATCACCCACTTTGGAAGAAATCATCTGAGCGCTATATAAAGTCGTTACATGCCATTTAGAGATGCGTTTCACCTGAAATAGGTTATATTTCACATATATAATAACTCACACAATATGTATAGTGCAATGCTCAGATACACAAGAAGCCCAGCATGATTTTGTGAGATGGGATGACATAAATGTATGTGCTGTCAGACACTAATCTTGTGTTTTTGCGTGCAGGTCCCGGTGTGCCTCACACAGCCGTGTACAGCACCAGAGACGGAGAGTACGAGAGTGAGTCCTCAGTCTGTTACTGCATTAAACACCATCAGCAGGTACAGATTCCAGTTTTACTGGAAAGGTGTTTCTCACCCAGAAGACACGATAGAAGACCTCGATATGCGCTTTATCAACGGTGTTCGAAGGTTAAATGTGTTTGAAGATAAACGCTACACAAAAAACATTTATCGAATTGTGTCAGATGAATTGTGTACACCATGTCCTCACAATATTACTGTTTTTTTACTGTAAATAAATGCAGCTTCGTTGAGCATAAGAAACTTTCAAACTCATTAAAAGATCTTACTGCCCCCAAACTACGGTATGTTTTATAGTCGATAAATACATCTCTCTGACCATCTACTGTATGTGATTCTCTCGGTTTCCCTCAGAGCTGCTGGACGTGGAGCTCAATGAGCAGTTGAACACCACTGTGAACAACACGCAGATGCCCAAAGTAGAGTACAGAAAGATCAGCATAGATGATTACTGTGAGTATCTTTCAGCAAACTCTCCGAGTCCGTTTTCAGATTTTCAAAGCACAGTGACTTTCCCATCATTTGCACAGGTCTGAACATGCAGATCCTGAAGCCAGCAGGGTTTATAGAAACAGCTCACTACCCCTTACTGCTGCTGGTGTAAGTGATTCACACACACAGAATAACTGATACATGTTCTACACGGCAGTCAAAACACAAGAACAGCGTATTAGTTCACAGTGTTGGGGGTAACTCATTACAAGTAACGCGAGTTACGTAACCAGATTACTTTTTTCAAGTAACTAGTAAAGTAACGCATTACTTTTTTAATTTAAAAGAAAATATCTGAGTTACTTTTTCAAAAAAGTAAGCCAGTTACTTTGTTTTCCCATTTATTGACTGACAGCTCTCCTGTCCCCATGTTGGGAGAAATCGGGAGTTGTGTGCGCTGTGTGAACATGTTACTGTAGTTCTAGACTAAATGTGAATGTGCATTAATTCATCCCACTCACAAAACACAGATTTAGTATTCATCAAAATGAATTAAAACAGTGAAATGCAAACTCAGAATATGACGCAAACCTGCAATAATGAAATATGTTAAATAACACAAATGTATCTAATCCCATTTTATTAACCAATGTCTTTGCTGCTGACCTTTGCTGATCCAGTTCAACCGCATGCACTAATAAGCAAAAATGACTTTAGAGAAACTAACAATTGTGCTTCATTGTTTTTTTTATTGCTGAAGAGTGTTTCTTCTTCTGCGTTCTACTGTACAGATGTGAATTGACATTTTCTTCAACCTGAGGCGTATTCGTTTCACTTTTGGTGTGAAAGGGCGTTTACATTTGTAAAATAAGAACTTTTTATATTAAAAACAAACAAGCAAGCCCTGCCCAGATTTAAAGTCTCAAAAGTAACGTAACGCATTACTTTCCACAGAAAGTGCCTAAGTAAATTAGTTACTTAAGGAGTAACGCAATATTGTAATGCATTACTTTTAAAAGTAATTTTCCCCAACACTGTTAGTTCAGCAAAGACAGGAGTGTGTCTCGAAAGCATGAGAAAGACTGTACTGATGTTTTTTTGCTTTGTGTGACCGCAACAGACTTGTTGTACAGTGAATTGATTGTGGTATTGTTTTGAGGCATTTGTTTGATCAGATGTTCCTCCAGCATGGCAGGTTCTGACACACGTTTGATTTGCTCGGGTAGAGACGGCACCCCCGGTGGTCAGATGGTGACGGAGCAGTTTCTGGTGGACTGGACCACGGTGCTGGTCAGCTCCTTCAACACCATAGTCATGCGTCTGGACGGCCGCGGCAGTGGCTTTCAGGGCACGAACCTCCTCCACCGCATCAAGAAGAAGCTGGGGGAGCTTGAGGAGAGAGACCAGCTGGAAGCTCTTAGGTCAGATCATCCACATGAACGACACTACAGCAGCATCACTGAGAACACTTCACGATTACATCTGTTCTATGATTCCCTGCAGAGTGATATCACAGGAGCCATACATTGACAGCTCAAGAACTGGAGTTTATGGAAAGGTGAGTTTGCCTGGTGACGGTTGGGGAGTAAGTGTAGTGATGCTTCTAACTTCACTGCATTTGAGTAGTGTGAGAATAGCTGAGCTGTTTACATAATAATAGTGATTTTTTTTTCAGTCTAAAACAAAATTTTTCCAACAAGTGGTGAGATAGCATGGCAAAACGATTTTATCTCACATTAGAACTTGGTATTTTAGTTTTATGTACATATTTTAAAATTAGTATTAACATTTTGAATTGGCTTAATTTGCTTCATTTTATATTTTCATTTTACATTACATTTTTAAATATTACTATTTAGGTTTAATTTATTTTTGTTTTAATTATTTTAATTTGTACATTATCAATGAACAAAAATGGTTTTAGTTTACTATAATAACCCTGCCCGGAAAGCGGTCATTATTACATTTTGATGAATGTTTTCAAAGAGTATCTGGAATAGCATACAGGGATGATTCATTCCAAATAAAAGCAGGAACACATAGTAAGAGTCGGTTTTGATTTCATGTTGCCTTCAGGAGGTCTGTATTGTTGAATTCATATCAAATTTCTCTTGATGAAATTGTACCATGTGATGTATGATTGTATCATTCAGCATCATTTATGTTCCTGCATCACTAATAACCGGTTTTGTCTGCTTCAGGCATATGGAGGATACCTGGCCAGCCGACTATTACGCTCAGATGAAAATCCAAATATGTTTAAATTCAAAATCAAGTGTGGCACGGCCATCTCTCCCATCACTGATTTCTCTTTATATGGTATGATGTCGTATCCAGAGTTTGATCACTCATGCCTGTCATTCATTCATCAGAATAAAATGGACTCGATGTTACTCATGATCTTCTGTTCCGCAGCTTCTGCGTTTTCTGAGCGCTATTTAGGATCACCGCAGGCCAGTAAGAGAGAATATGAGGTAATGTACAGCAACATGAGATGGTTGAGGGTCAGCTCGGACAAATATGTTACCAGTGCAGGATAGTAACTGATTACATGTAATCTGGATTATGAAAAATTAAGTACTTGTACTTAGATCATATTATTTTAAAATGTTAAAGGTGCACTAAGCGATTTTTTGCCAAACGATTTTGATATTTGAAGGCATCAAAACAAACACGCCCATACCCAAATTTTGACCGATTTTGAAATCACCGCCCCACTTGTACGTTCACAACCACGACGATCGCGGAAACAAGCGAAGATGACACACGCATATTCAAACAAAAGCCAACACAGATAAGTTGTGTGAAACAATGCAAAATCGATGGTATTAAAAAACAACGCAACCTCAGCGTCCGATTCGAGCCCTTCCCGCTGCTTGCGTTCTCTCCACCGCTGGAAAGCTGCTCCGATATTTACCTCTTGCTTGATCGTAACACTTCTTTTTAATGTTTTGCTCCTCTGATATTTTCCTCTTTTTTTATCTTCCAGTTTTCTCTATCTATAGTCCATCTGCTAATATCCGTTCGGTACACTCAAATCGAGCGCCCTCTTCTCTCTATCATTACAAGACACGCCCCCTTACTGTTGATTGGCTGCAAGTGTGTTTTGGGACATGGTCCCACTGTGGTCGTTTGTGTGAGCGCTTTTCAAAAATCACTTAGTGCACCTTTCATTTAGATTAGTTACTTATTATGGATGACATGATTACAATTTATTCACACACTGGCATTACATTATTTATTAATTGACTATCCCTAATTCTTTCTTCTCTTTTCAAATTGTTTTTTTTTTTTCATTTGATGCAAGGATTCCCAAACTTTTTGTCAGTCAAACCACTTTGACCTAAAATATCTACTTGAAGTCCCCCTGAAATTTAAAGTTAATATTTCAATAATTTCAACACATTTGCAAGTTCGCCGATGTCGATTAATGGTCATATATTTTATTTATCTTTTTTTTTCTTCTAAAAACAATAATCCCATTTAAATCTATAAACAAGTTATGTCCAAAGTAATCTAAAAGTAGTAAGAATACATTACCTAAAATGAGTCTTGATTGATTCTGAATCTTGATTACATTACTGATTACAATATGTAATTTGTAATCAGTAACAGACTACAATTTTTAAGTAATCTTGCCAGGACTCTCTCTTACATATGGTGTTGGCTTGTATTTTTTCAGATGGCGCGTTTAACAGACCACATGGAGCAACTGAGGGACAAAAAACTCTTGATAATTCACCCGACGGCTGACGGTAACCCTTGATTTAAACAAAGCTTCCTGTGCTTAACTTTATTTCTTAAATACATGCTTTTCTTTCATTTGTTTAACTGACACTGGATTGTGTGTAACATTTCTTTGTTCACACAGAGAAAGTCCATTTTCAGCACACGGCCAAATTTATCACCCACCTGATAAATGAGAAAGCTAATTATACATTACAGGTAAGAGCTGATCAGCAGCTATTTAAAGCTATTGACGCTTATGTTTCTGAATTATTTAACATATTTTTAGTGGTGTTTGTTGCATCAAGAATCATTATTACTGTTACATATACTGATCTGAAAACATTTATTACATATCAAGAACTCATCCAGTTCCAGTTGTGCTGTAGACATGAATGACACCTCAAATCATGTGGCTCATTGAGGAGAGATGTGATAATTTTTCTCACAACACCTTTGTTATGCATAGAAACGCATTACAAACCACTTAAGACACCCTTGGAACTACATAACAACACACTTAAAACCACTAGGGCACCCTAGCAACATGTTAAAAACACTTGTATACCCTAGCAACATGCTAAAAACACTCAGACACCCTTAACAACTGGACAGTAACATGCTAAAAACACTCATACACCCTTAGCAACATGTTAAAACACTCAGACACCCTAGCAACATACAAAAAACACGCGGACACCCTAGCAACATGCAAAAAACACTTAAGACACCCTTAACAACCAGATAATAACATGCTAAAAACACTCAGACACCCTAGCAACATACAAAAAAACACTCGGACACCCTAGCAACATACAAAAAAACACTTAAGACACCCTTAACAACCAGATAATAACATGCTAAAAACACTCATACACCCTTAGCAACATGTTCAAGCACTCAAGACACCCTAGCAACATACAAAAAACACTCGAACACCCTAGCAACATGCAAAAAACACTTAAGAAACCCTTAACCAGATAATAACATGCTAAAAACACTCAGACACCCTTAGCAACATGCTAAAAACACTCAGACACCCTAGCAACATGCAAAACACACTCAGACACCCTAAACAGATGGATAGTACCATGATAAAACACTCATACACCCTTAGCAACATGTTAAAACAGTCAGACACCCTAGCAACAAGCCAAAAACACTCAGACACCCTAGCAACATGTTAAAACAGTCAGACACCCTAGCAACAAGCTAAAAACACTCAGACTCCCTAGCAACATGTTAAAACACTCAGAAACCCTAGCAAAATTCAAAACACACTCAGACACACTAAACAGCCGGATAGTAACATGATAAAACACTCATACACCCTCAGAAACATGCTCTACTCAGACACCCTACCAACAAGCTAAAACACTCAGACACCCTAGCAACATGTTAAAAATCACTTGGACACCCTAGCAACATGTAAAACACACTCAAGACACCCTAAACAGCCGTATAGTAACATGATAAAACACTCATACACCCTAGCAACATGTTAAAACACCCAGAAACCCTAGCAAAATTCAAAACACACTCAGACACCCTTAACAACCGCATAGTAACATGTTAAACATGCTAACAAACCCTTGCAACATGCAAAAAACACTCAAGACACCCTAGCAACATGCTAACAACACTCAGACACCCTAGCAACCACACAGACAAGTGCTAAATACCACTCAGAAATAAGTAATGAATTGTGGACTGTTGATGTATGACAGATTTCTGAATAAAACAGGATATTCTCTCTCTTTCTCTCTATATATACACACACATACACATTCAGAATCAGACAAATGAATGTAGTAAAATGATTTGTTCTTGAGTGAATGAGTGTTTTGTTTGTCTGTCAGATCTACCCAGATGAAGGCCACTTCCTCCACTCGAGAGAGTCGCAGCTACATCTGAGTCAGTCGCTGGTCAACTTCTTTGTGGAGTGTTTCAGACCCCCAGAGATACTGACTGAAGACAAACTGGAGCAGGACAATGAGGATGATGGTTAAAGTTCTACTCGGATCCAGCACAAGCCAGCTTACAGCCCAATATGCAAACGCCTCCCTTCCACCCCATCCTCATGGTAGTTCTGATGGCTTCTCCTGAGCCTCTGCATGGACCACACCCCTCAACTCTGATTGGCTCATTGGCTCCAGGAAAGAATCTGAATGACTTGGTGATACAAGAACCAGTGGAGGTACACGATGAACCATTTCATACCCACAGCACCACACGAGCAGTGCGACAAAACCAGCTGGACATGCGTGATTCGGTCAAAACTCTTTTGCTTGTGTTCTGTAATTCATGCATTGCTGACAGAAAGCTTTAAGACGACAGCACAATATACAGAAGAACGACTGGCCGGAATTAAAAGCTGCAGATTTACTGCAGCATATTTTCCCTGCTGCGTAGCGTTCTGAGGAGTTCAAACCAGTTTAGGTCCTTTATTTGGGTATAAATGTCCTTGTGAACTCATTTGTTTCTGTTGTCAATGTCATCTTTATCGGGCTTATTCATGCTGAATGAATTTGCACGAAATATTTATAAAACCATTTCATGTGTCAGTTGAATGTGGTAATTTACATTAAAAAAAATTATTGGAGCTGAACAAATGTGCATAAATCATATACATAAAAATGAACAGGAATTTGTTGTGCATTTCATGAGGCTATTTGTTCATCAAATGTGCTACTGTAAAACTTTCAATTGTTGTAAGTATCCATATCAGCGTCCGCATGATGGCACAATGGCATATTGTTAATTTGTGAATCGGCCCATTCTGAAAAGGACAGTCTTATTTTTTTATTATTATTTGAGTGCAGCTGCAAATGTCTATGGATATTCATTTAGTCACTGTGCCTTATTGGAGTATACCTGCTAAAGACAGGCAGTCCGTGAGGTAGGACGAATAATTTATGGGGGGAAAAAAGAAAAAAAGTTTAGAAATAAAGTTTTATGTTATCAAAGAGAACCATGCCACAATCCTGCGAAGAACATTTTGTTTACAGTCCTGTGTACTAGTTGAGTTGTAAAGTAATCCAGAAGAATAACTGTGAATACAGAATTCATAGGACTAGCGTCTTTGGGCAGGTCTGTGTTTTGTTTGGGGTTTTATGTCATACGTGGTTACAAAAGTCTTTGAAGAACGTTTTGCATAGAATATATTTTCTTGCTCTATAATTTGGCATGGTGGCAAGATGGTTTCTTTTGTTTTAATGTATCTATTTACGTCGTTACTTTTGACAGCTTGAATGTTCCTATGTGGTTCCACTGAATTTATTGTCGTAAGTGAAATCCTGTCTTGTAAGCAGATGCACTGATGTGTAAATTACAACTGTTTTGGTCCCTACTTGTGTGTACCTTGTACATAAAGCATTTTGAAAGCTATTTTGTTTGTTTCTTCATATACTGCAAGTTTCCATATGGCTCCATTTAAGTCGTTCACATTTATTGAACAAGTAGTAACAGCTTTTTTTTTAGCCATCACAAATATCATGCAAGTTCCTGCAATAGCAGTCTGCCTCCTTGTGGTGCCAATCCAAAATGAATGAGGAAATAATTAAACCGGACTAGTTATTTATCAGACAAAAAGTGTTTATTTTCCAGTGTTTTACAATATGCGTCCACCACGTGAGCAGACCCAGCATGATACAAACAGTTAGGGAAGCATTGTTCACACACGGAGAGATTGAAGACCCCCAGAGATGATTAGCATGTTCGCCTTCACTCTCCCAGGTCCCTTAACCTCACGTCTGTATCGAACAATACTCACAAAAAGGAACTGATGCAATGATGACGACCGGAGGAAGAGGAGCAGCTAAAACATGTAATAGATATGTACATTTAAGTTACTTACTTTACAGGAATATTTAAAATTCAACTCTGGTTAAAATACCAAATGCAAAATAATAATGCATTAAAATAGTGTTAAGACCAAGGAGGAATGCTGTAGGAATGGAAGCGTCTCATTTTTCCATGAATGAAATCCGGCTGAGGTGAGTAAAAAAAAAAAAACATTTTAAACTTTTTTTTTTTTTTACACCTTAATGTATCTGAGATGTGGCACCTTCAACAACCCAAGACCAGTATTCAATATTAGGCACTATCATGATCCAAAGACACCTGATTTGTTCTTTAACAATCCATTCTGTTCCCATCTTTTTTTCCAGCTTTATGCCAGAGACGGTAATCGTGTCTCACAACAAACGGCAACATGTGCACTGCAAATTGCATCAGCGAAACTGAATTCCTTTTTGTCTTCCGTTATTTAAAAAAATGTTTACTGTGCCGAGTTTCTGCCATGCACTGCACTTAAAAAAAGAAAAACGAAACAGACACCGTTCCAAAGCACAGCACGCGAAGCAGTCCAAACACAGGCAGAATAAACCATGGAAGCGTCTCATTTTTCCATGAATGAAATCCGGCTGAGGTGAGTAAAAAAAAAAAAACATTTTAAACTTTTTTTTTTTTTTACACCTTAATGTATCTGAGATGTGGCACCTTCAACAACCCAAGACCAGTATTCAATATTAGGCACTATCATGATCCAAAGACACCTGATTTGTTCTTTAACAATCCATTCTGTTCCCATCTTTTTTTCCAGCTTTATGCCAGAGACGGTAATCGTGTCTCACAACAAACGGCAACATGTGCACTGCAAATTGCATCAGCGAAACTGAATTCCTTTTTGTCTTCCGTTATTTAAAAAAAAAGTTTACTGTGCCGAGTTTCTGCCATGCACTGCACTTAAAAAAAGAAAAACGAAACAGACACCGTTCCAAAGCACAGCACGCGAAGCAGTCCAAACACAGGCAGAATAAACAAAACAAAGCACAGAAAGGGGAAATATATACACTTCATAAATGAAAATGGCAGTTTGGTTAGTATTAAAAGCAGATACATTCTTGTTTTGGTTACTGAAGGATCTATCGCAACACCGGGGGCCACTTTACACTTCCAGTAAAATAAATCTTTTATCAAGGCTCAAGACACTCTAGTCTTCTCAACATCCTATTGACCTACCTGCTCAGCCTATTTCTCAGTTACTTTCCTTTAACTTCCAAGCCATTTGGACTACAACTGCTCCATGATGTGATGTCTCAAATCTAAAATCTATATTCGCCGGAAATTCGAGCTCTCCCAGTTTTCCAGCAATACTGCACTTCGGCCAACAGTGAGAGGGTGCCTTTGTTCGCTGTACAACATTGGATCGGTACATAATTTCATTCACAGAAGGAAATATCACAGGATGTTTCAAAAATATTTCTCGCAACTCTCAGAGAACGCTCAATAGCAATTTCATACACGCTTTCTCTCGATCTCATATCACACACGCACTCTCGCTCATGATATCGACTCGTTGATGCCAACATGGCTTACAAGCATCGCTCAAGTACCTTAAAACATGTCAATACTCAGACACTCAAACAGTGTTCCCATATATAATATACATGAGCGCACACTCACACACATTTTCACAGGTACTGATAGAAACGGGAACGGACCACTTGAGCACCAGAGAGTTTGTGAGGGTGGGCATCAGCAGCCAGGCTTAGGCTCTTGCTCTGAGCAGCCGCTACATCTCCATTAAGGAGCTGACCCAAGTGGGAGTGCGAAGACCCAGCGGATAACAGGTCCCGTGATCGGGAAGGGTGCAGGTCTAGTACGTCCAGACTAACTTCGGGGTTGCTGGCTCGGTGTCGCTCTCGAGCGATCCAGTCTCTGATGGAGAAGTCCTGCGAACTGCATTTGGGCTTTAAGCGATCCATAGCGGAGAGCTCATTGCCCTCGACTCTTTGCCAGTCCCCAATTACCGACAACTCGGCAAAGTCCCGCTGACCACCCATGGTGTGCCTGCGGCGGATGTTGCTCTTCCGTTTACTTCGAGTCTCGGGTGACCTGCTGCGCTGGGAACCCACCCCAATCATGTCATCTGCTGATGTTCTCAGTCGACACTTTAATCTGTCTGTGATTTTGAGTCGCCACATGGGTTCGGCTTGCTCTGATTCGCTGCGAGAGGAAGAGCTCAGACTGCCGGTGGAGTGGCCTTTGACTGCCTCTAGTACTCGCAAGAGTCGACTGGACTCCTTGTCGCTGCGGCTCCCGTCTGCTGAAGACTCGCTGTCCGTCTTCAGTCGACTCCCTCTCTTGCGTGCCAGGGTGTCGCACGCGATGATTCGATGTGAGGGGATTAGGTTGGGTACATCTTGCAATGGTTTGACGCTGCCCTCTGGTTGGTTGCTATCTTCAGTCGGCCCGCTATCTCGGCCACCGGCAAAGACTGATAAATCGCTTTCACTGTCAGTCTCCATGGGTCGTCCCTCACTGATGAGCTCGCTTCTTTCATCGTCAGCATCATCCCCGCGGCTTTCGGCGACAGATTGCACCTCTGGACTGAGGGCGATGGACTCCACCCCTGTGTGGAATGTCATGGAGGAGGTGGTGGAGTAATCTGATGTGATAGAGCAGACCTCAGCTCCTGGGCCCATTCCTGTGCTCTCCATCCAGTGGCCTGGTGTCCTCCCGTGCCTCATCCTGGGTACTGAGGCCTGGGAGCTGGTGCTGTTAAGCGTGCCCAGATCTGAGACGCATCCGTCATCGTAGTTAGAGGGAGGATCAGACAGGGAACTCTGGCGAGTCATGTGATAACTAGGTTTGGACGATGTGATGATCTTAGGTAAAGGACAAGTCTCCTGGGGCAGATGTTCGGAAATGAGCTGCTTGTTTTCAGAGGTTAGGTCAAGGCTGTATCCTGGGCTTTGCTCATCATCCTCTGTCCTTTCTATTTGGTCATCAAGTCCAACTTCACTCTCAGCATCCTCAGTTTGGTCATCAGCATGCCAATTTGGATCATTTTGCACTGGAAGATCCTTTTTAGAGAAACTAGCGTCCAGATCATCGTCAGAGCTGCTCGGCTGAGGCTTGTCCTTAGGCTTTTTGCGTTTGCGGCTAGCAAAGATGGAAGAACGCAGCAGCTCTCTACTATATTGGTCCTTACCAGATCCCCAGGAACCCTGCTACAGGACCAAGCACATAAAGACAAGTGTAAGTTTACAATGCAATGTGATCAATCTCAGGGAATTGGCTTCTGAAGCAGGAATCGTCTCCTTTTGAATATAGACATTTTGTAATTATCTCAATAAAAAAGTACTCACCTTTGATTTGGCAGAGTCACTGGTGGTTGAATCTAGTGGAACAAGGAGAGAAAAAGGTAAGCAGGCTATTTAAAGTGGAATACAGCAGGGACAAAGAGCCAGAGACAAGGGGAGACTGAAATATAAATATCCTTCACCACAACAGCAGTGGAACGGCACAAACAGTGGAGTCATGTAGAGATCTGAGAAATGAAGGCGACACACATAAGCCATCGCACAGAGAGAAATGGAGGAAAGAGAAATGAGTGATGACAAGAACCCGGCAGTGTGCAGTAAGACAGGAGGCAGCTCATGCACACATTCACACAGACAGACAGCCTGTCCACAGTTAAACCGCCAATCACTGACAAACACACACAGAGCCAGCAGAGCATGTCTACAGGCATTCTTTCCCAACTCAGAGACATCACCAAGGCAGGGATGGACATCCTATCAGCTATGTATTAAGGCAGTGTTTCTCAACCCTGGTCCTGGGCGCCCACCAACACTGCACATTTTGTATGTCTCCCTTATCTGACACACCCATTTCAGGTCCCGGAGTTCCTTCTAATGAGCTCATGAGTTGAATCAGGTGTGTTTGATTAGGGAGACACAAAATGTGCAGTGTTGGGGGGCACCCAGGACACTGTATTAAGGGGTGAGAATTGACGTGAATCTGGTCGGAAACCGAATGCTGTGCTTAATTTTTTAATCTTTACTTTTGTAAACCTACATGAGTTGGTTATATTGCATCATGGGATTAATACGCATGCATATTAAATCACTTATTCACAAAAAACTTGAAAACATAAAATTTAGGATTTTGTTAAGGATATTAAGTTTTGTGTTTTTTCACCTACTTTGTAATTTTGTCGCCTACCTCTATATTTCATGCCATTTCTAGTATTTTTAAGGCAATAAATGGCTAGAGAATTTCAAGTGCACAATAACCATTATAACTGAACATTCAACTATATATTAACTGAGACAAGTTTAGATATGGGAGATTTGAAATGAAGGACATTAAGGTGTGTTTTTCATACAGGCACAGAGATGTCAGGTTGTTATGAAATAAGAAACGTTTTGAATGATGTTAACACTAGAGGTCGCCATGTAGCTTTACGGTGCTTTGCTACTGAGGTGGACTATGCGACCTCCAGTCTGCACTTCCATTGGTTGCCACCACATGTCGTCTCTGTCATTTTCATGAGCAGCTAAACGGATCAGTTCTAACCAATGCTAGCG